ACCATACCTACTGTGAGACATGGAGGGGCCACCATACCTACTGTGAGACATGGAGGGGGCACCATACCTACTGTGAGACATGGAGGGGGCACCATACCTACTGTGAAACATGGAGGGGCTCGGCTTGGTTTTGGGGCTGCTTTGCTGCATCTGGCACAGGGAACCTTGAATCTATGCAGGACACAATGAAGTCTCAAGACTACCAAGGCATCCTGGAGCGAAACCTACTTCCCAGTGTCAGAAAGCTCAGCCTCAGTCGCAGGTCATGGGTCCCCCAACAGGATAATGACCCAAAACATACAACTAAAAGCACTCGAAAATAGCTGAGAAGAAAAACTTTGGACTATTCTTAAATGGGTATCGAGTTGCTGTCATGGGGATTCCTCTGGGAACTCTGGTTTCCCCCCATAGTTAATCGGAGTTACCGAATCGTGTGTGAGGGTGCCCTGTGATGGGTTGTTGCCCATCCTGGGTTGTTCCCTGCCATGGGCCCCATGCGTCTGGGATAGGCCCTGGACCCCCCCTACGACCTTGAACAGGACAAGCTGTTACAAAAAATGGATGGACGGATTAATTGGCCAGCATGTGTGCTGGAAAGTCAAACAGCGATAGTCTGCCGGTATCTCCGAGGGATGTCAGGCTAACTGTGACTCTGCACTGGATCCAGGGTCCTTCAGAGACTTTTCAAGGAGCAAACGGGGATTCTGTGAAATGTACCCACTCGGCGGGGGTCCCCTTGTTAAAGTTTGAAAATGGGGCACTCAGGACTCAGAAGGGAGACACTTTCATGCAAATGAGGCGTGTGCCTCATCCCTGACTGTATCAGTTTATGGGAAATTAATGGATAGATGGACTATTTAACATTTATTGATATCAGGAAATGAACTATATATTTAAATATCAGGCACAGTTAGTCGTGATGGAATTTAAAAGATTAACTGAGTGTCATCGTTGGCATCTGAGGATGTGGTTGATGGTATCTAAAATGCGGTTGTTCAAAATGAAATGAAGATTGACTGAATGATAACAGCAGTTTGGTTATAGTTGTTAGTAAATGAGCTGTTAATGATTCATCAATGTTTTAACTAATAACCAATCTGCTGATTGATACCCGCTTATCCTAAACAGGGTCATGTGGGTCCAGGGCCTATCCTGGAAAAACTGGGGGCAAGACAGGGAATATCCCATGGCGGGGGCACCAACCATTCACACTTTGGACAATTTGAGAACTCCAGTTCATTGTGGGGGGATATCAGGGAACCCTGAGGAAACCCCCCCTCCCACAACAACACATGGAAAACAAGCAACCTCACTCAGAGCACGGGGGCAGAGACTCCAACGCTTTTCTCTGGAGGGGTGAGGAGAATGTGCTTAACCACGACAGTACCGTGTCTCCCTTACAAAGCACTGAAAATAGATTTTCTGCCCGAGTCTTTAAATGAATAGAGGGAACTGGTTGCAGTTGACAATGACACATACCCGGCGTTACAAATACCACAGATTGCAGATAAGAGTTCACTGTTCCCTATCAACTAGAAGGCAAATAAGAGAACAGAGAATAAGAATGACGAAGCGTAAGAACATCTGATATAAACAAACGTCAAATTGACTAGGCGGGATTTTGTTGCAAAACTATAGTGCAGTGTTTCCCAACCTCGTCCTCGGGGATCCCCAGACAATATATGCTTTTGTGGGAGCTGGGAGGGAGCAAAAATGTGGAATGTCTGGTAGGGAGCTGGGAGGGAGCAAAAATGTGGACTGTCTGGTAGGGAGCTGGGAGGGAGCAAAAATGTGGAATGTCTGGCAGGGAGCTGGGAGGGAGCAAAAATGTGGACTGTCTGAGGGTCCCCAAGGTCCAGATTGGGAAAGACTGCTATTGAGAGACTATTGTGACATGTTGCAATAAATAAAAATAAAATGCATTATTATTATATATTCTTGTATGTATGCAGTATCTATAAACAAAATTACCATTCTTATTTAGTATATCATCTGAGCATACAGTATGTCCTTGTCAAAATGAAATTACAGTCAGTCATATTTCTGTTTTATTTAAAAATTTTATATTCAGTTGCAGTTGACTAAACTGTAGATCAATGTCACTTCTGAGGCTTATGTAAAAGTCAATATATTTACATTTTAATATATTTAAAAATTAGCAGACAGCTGACTCACATGTAGATAAATGTTAGGCTTTTGACAAACACAAACCATGTTTCAGTCTTTCAGGAAAATATTACTGTGCAACAACTTTGTCTTAAGATTCTACAAAATTTTCTACCTAATGAATAGATCACAGGATTTTAATTGCTGTCTTAATTGTTAGTATCTAATGGAGAAAAACACTAAAACAGCCTGTAATTCTACCATTCTCTGCTGTATAGTACATATGAGGGATGACTTTTCAAAATCACTTTTGAAGGACATTTTTCAAAATTTCAATTTTGAAGGGTTTAAAGTATACAAATACAGTGCAGATGCTATGATTTCATATTTGTCAAATACCAAGAGTGGCCTAAATGATTTTCCAAATTATTTTGCAAACAATCCGCTTTTAAAAGGCCACATAAAGGCTTTGATTATTAGTTTTCAAACTATGTAAACTTGTGAGACGTGTTTGAAATTATAATGCGTAGTGATGTATCGGAAAGGGGAAATTTTGTGGCTGGACATTCTTAATTTAGTTCACTTGGAACCTCCACACAGGTGCTGGTTCCGGGTTCCGGTTCTATGCTGTATATAAAGGCTCAGCAGGGCAGCAGCACCCCAGCTTCACCTCTCAGAAGACAAACACAGAAGATGGCCCACATCAAGCTGACGGGCGCCTCGCTGGTGCTGCTCCTGCTTGCCTGCCTGATGCACACGCCAGTGTCTGCCGGTACGTCCCCCCAGCCTGACCTGACCTAGATCTTTGGCTCCTGACCTCAATCAGCTGCTTCGCTTCTCGGTCCCCTGTGGCTCTTTTTTTCCACAAATTCACAGTTAAAAAATTAATGCCTCTTTGAATGATTTTACAGCATTTCGCCTAACTGTTCGACAAGCCCTGTACGGGACATAATCCCCTCTGATGCTCAGTTGTATGTCTGTTTAACCTTTTGACATTTATTGTTTTTTCTTTATTGTGACAGCTTGCTGCACAAAATATTCAAGGACCCCGATACCTATTATGCATATAAAAGGAGTGTCGATACAAAAGAATACTGGAATATGCAATATCAATGCTGTTATGTAAGTACCTCCTGAGGTAGAAACATAGATATGTACAGATATATGTACACATATACTGTTTTATATATTTGTTATTTATCTGTTTATATGAATGACATGATAGACATATACAAACAAACAAATTCTGCTCCATGTTAATCCATTGTTATGTCTTTTAGTTTCCACACCTACAAACGTAAACAGTTATGTGCTGATCCCAATGCATCCTGGGTACTGGACCGGATCAAGACCCTGAGGTGAGTTGTGACCCCATGTGGCCCACTTACTCTTGCGATTCCTGAAAGGGAATCGAAAGTAACAGAGCAAAGCTCTCGACAAGCAGAACTAACATCTAACGTCTGTTTTCTGTTCGTTTTTTATAGGGAAACAGTGAAGAGAATGAGACACAACAGCACAGAACAGACAGTATAATCCTCACACGCCCTGGTGGATTTTCTTAATATGTGCTTTGCTTTTTTTAAAAACAATATATCCTTTTTATTCATGTCATTTTTTCTTTCACATTTTTATTTAGAAATATATGGTCTTGAATTAGATCAAAGTAATATAATTGAACCTACTTTTTGGGTTCACAGTTATATTTAAATGTATACATTTCAGAAGCTTTCATGGTTTCTGACTTATTATCTGAGATATTACAGACAAACTTTTTCCATGAGAATTTCATGTCTTGCACTCTTTCCTGAGTCTAGCTAATCCGGCATGATTCCATTGAATCTTTACATATATAAATATATACATATATATCATTTGGTACCTCAATGTGAGTTTAAAAAAAAAGGTTTATTTTCTTAGCCATTAAGGTGATTGCCATTTGCCTTTGTACTACTTGTGTTTATGTTGCAGTTCATTGAATAAACATGTTTTATAGTATTTAGTCTGTGTTCAGTCATTAACTTCTAGGGACAATTGTGTTGCACCTGTCATGGCCGTACCACATCCAAGACAATGTCACATACCCTTATTTTGGGGGAGCTCACTTTTCAACACTTCATATCGTAAGACATTGACATGTTCATTGCTGGGGAGAGAATAATATCAGTAAAAGATATGTCAAAATGGCATAATAATAGGGCCCGTAGATGGTGTGTAGCTCAGTGTATGGACTGCTGTGCCTGTGATTGGAAGGTCACTGGTCCACATCTCAGGCTCAGCAGAGTGATGTCACCGTTGGGCCCTTGACTAAGGCCCTTAACCCCCAATTGTCCCAGGAACTGTCTGACCCTGATTTCTCAAAAAAAAAAGTATGTTGCTTCAGATAAAATCAGCTGCCAAATAAATTAAAATGTACTAAAAACAATGAGCAATGACTATTTTCATAAACGTGTTAAACTGAGAAAACACATTCTAAATATGAACTAATATTTAGTATAATATTCAAAGCTGTAAAAGCTTTTGTTGACAAATGTGTAGTGATAAAAATATCAGATGAGACACACGGGCGTTCGCGGTGAAACATACAGTAAACAGACAAAAACAGACAGTATTACAAGATGCACCTTAAACCGACACCATTTCAGCCTGTGCTTGGGCCTAGAGGCAAGGGGGCACGTCAGCAGAAAGGCCCAGTAACGGGATGGAACACGCTGACATTTACCCACGGACCCTGAAATGAAGGTTGGGGGTTATTAAAAGACCACGACTTCAAAGTGTTTGCAGGGGTGGCGTGGGGACGTGTGTACGGCGAATGAGTCATGCTAGCCCTCCATTTACACACTCATCACTACAGGCTCTCAGTATCAGCTCCCCCACATGTGTAGGAAGCCAACGAATAATGTAACACCGGCCTATTCCATGAGGTCACGGTTAGGGCACCCCCATGAGTCTGCATGTCTTCCATGCTAATGCTAATGCTAATGCTATGTCAATGTGGAAAGACCAGCCATGTTAATAGTGTCCGCTTTCTCCATTAATATAGCAAAATCAGACTCAGAACTGACTTTATTGCCAGTATGTACGCACTTATCAGAATTGTTTGTGGTCCAGTGCCAAACATGAAGTGCATTACAAGACGTACAACAGAAACACTTCACAAAACACCATGTGTAAATATAGGAATGAAAATAAGAGACAGTGGAAGACATCATACGACAATAAATTTACATAGTACAAGAACTATAAATTTCTAACTAGTGCAAGAACAGGAAAAAACATTTGTTGATTGTCGCGCAAATTGAAACGATATCGCACATATACACTCACCTAAAGGATTATTAGGAACACCATACTAATACGGTGTTTGACCCCCTTTCGCCTTCAGAACTGCCTTAATTCTACGTGGCATTGATTCAACAAGGTGCTGAAAGCTTTCTTTAGAAATGTTGGCCCATATTGATAGGATAGCATCTTGCAGTTGATGGAGATTTGTGGGATGCACATCCAGGGCACGAAGCTCCCGTTCCACCACATCCCAAAGATGCTCTATTGGGTTGAGATCTGGTGACTGTGGGGGCCATTTTAGTACAGTGAACTCATTGTCATGTTCAAGAAACCAATTTGAAATGATTCGAGCTTTGTGACATGGTGCATTATCCTGCTGGAAGTAGCCATCAGAGGATGGGTACATGGTGGTCATAAAGGGATGGACATGGTCAGAAACAATGCTCAGGTAGGCCGTGGCATTTAAACGATGCCCAATTGGCACTAAGGGGCCTAAAGTGTGCCAAGAAAACATCCCCCACACCATTACACCACCACCACCAGCCTGCACAGTGGTAACAAGGCATGATGGATCCATGTTCTCATTCTGTTTACGCCAAATTCCGACTCTACCATTTGAATGTCTCAACAGATTGTGAAATCCTCAGACCGGCCCGTCTGGCACCAACAACCATGCCACGCTCAAAATTGCTTAAATCACCTTTCTTTCCCATTCTGACATTCAGTTTGGAGTTCAGGAGATTGTCTTGACCAGGACCACACCCCTAAATGCATTGAAGCAACTGCCATGTGATTGGTTGATTAGATAATTGCATTAATGAGAAATTGAACAGGTGTTCCTAATAATCCTTTTGGTGAGTGTACAAGGGCAAGGTTTGGGGTCAGAGTTCAAGGCTTTATGTATGGATTCAACAGCGATACAATTATTCTGACAGCCATGGGATCTGAACCCATAACATTCTAGGCAGAGATCTAGAACCCACTGAGCCGCACAATCCCACAATAGGTCGCATTCCTGTGATGGTACCAGTAGTGTGCGTTATAGGGGTCACACTCACAAATCACCCATGGGGGGGTTCCTCTGTTTATAAAACCCAAACTTCCCTTCAGGACATTCTCAGAATTATTTATACACTCAAGCTTCTCCTTTTTGGGAGTTACAACAAAGAAATGGGAGATTGGCAAAAATTCAGTTTGACCCATCAGAGATCAGGCTTTTACACGACGGTATTCGGTCTGCCGCAGGTGACCTCGTTTGGGTTTGACATACTTACACAAAATTTCGCAGAATCTCTTCGCACATCGAGACATGTCTGGCTGCGCATTACGCAAAGAAAATGGGGATGCAGGCTACATACAAACCTCAACAGGAAGTAATTTATATTCCCACTTCTAGGTCACTGCAAAATGAAGTTGAAAAGCAAACAAACAGATCACGAACAGAAAGCAAAATATATTAAAGTTTTTTACTATTGCTTTGGCACATTTCATGAATCATACTAAACATTCTCAAGACTATAAGAGCATTTCTCAAAACAATTCATGCACATAGTGTCAAAATTGTCCCCCGTGACAGTCAGAATATATTGTCAGTATGTCAGTGTAATTTAATTTATATAATTTATGTCAGTAATAATGTAATTATGCTCCTGAGCTCCACAATTCTGAATGATAGTCATTTTCCACTTTCTCCTTGTCACTGACTGATCATTTTTCATTAGCAAACTGATACTTTTTCATGTCAAAGACCCCAGTTTCAATATAAAAAGGTTCTACATCACAGTATGCAAAGTACACTGGTAAGACAAAGCTCTTGCATGCACATGCAACTATTTCAGATCTCAAACCACAGTACAATAGCAAACAAAATGTCACGCAACACTGCATAACACAAGAACAGCAAAATGCCACAATAAAACTGTAACAAAATCATGTAGTATTTTGCATAACTTTCCTATATAGTTTTAGGTGCAAAATTATTACATAATAATAAATATATTGGAAAAAAATATTACAGTGGATAACTGCTAATCTATTTTACCTAACAAGATTAAAGCAAATGAAAATTATGGCAAATGACAATGGTACATGCAGTAAAACGTTTGGAAATTTGAGTCAAGCAAAGAGAAATTATGTTCTGCTGTGCAGAAGTGACATTACCGTGCGGGGATTACACTTGTTGTTTTCTAAATGTCAACTGTCGTTCGAGAAATGCTCCAAAGCAATCGAGAAAAACTGTAAACCATTTTGAAAGCTGTGTTGATGGTTTTGCATGTGATAACTAACACGATGATCACATACATACATAGTTTCGGGTGTAAAATTATTACAATGGAAAATTGCATTATCTACTAAAGCAACTAAAAATTGTGCCAAATGATGACAATTATGCAAAACTATTTGCATATATGTCCTAAAACATCTGGAAATGTGTGTGAAGCAATGAGAAATGATGCAGAAGTGACAAGGTGCTATAAGGATCACACAAACATTGCTATGGGGTCCACTGATAAATAGAGAGAAATTCCCAGTATGTGTGAACATACTTGGCCAAAAAATGATTTTAATTAGAAAGATCGCAAAGAGATACAATAATATGGCTGATGGGGACTTATTCATGCAATCTCACCATCTACAGAAGGTCCCTGAAGCTCTGGAAACAGGCTGCACTTGCCTCAGTAGCTAGAGACTCCAGGTACTCATGAATCAATACTTCTTTCATGTACTGCAAAACATTGCACTTTCTCCTCTCCTGTGGAGAGCAGCTCACATACACTAAAGATCATTATTGCAGTTAGACAGACATGCATACAGAGTGCTGTCTTAGTCATAAAGGAAATGGCATGTTTACATCCCAAAAAGGCCACGTGGGGCCTGCAGAAGGAGACTATAACTCTTTACCCATGTCAGAAAGTGGGATTTTATCGGTGCTGAAACAATGAATGCGATTATCATGCACTGCTTGTTCTTTAACACATTTCAGCCTTGCCTGGGTCTCGTTACAGATTTCCCTTATTGCTTTGGAGCATTTCTCAAATCACAATTAACATTTGCAAAGCAACAAATGTAATCCACCCATTACCGTGACTGCTTATTCCCCATTGGGGTTGCGGGGGGGGGGGTCCCCACACCATAATGTCAGTTTTGCACAGCAGAACATCATTTCTTATCGCTACGCACAAATTTCCAACCGTTTTGATTAAGTACTTTGGCACTGCAATACTTTTACATCTGAAACTATGCATGTATGTGATCATCGTGTTAATCACCACATGCAAAACCGTTAACCAAGCTTTCAGAATGATTTAAAGATATATTCTAGAAATTGCACTGTTGTGTTTCAGTGCATGATTTTGTTTTCTCACATTGCCAGTTTTCTGTTTTTGTGTTATGCAGTGCTGTGTGACATTTTTCATTTGCTATTGTACTGTGTCTTGAGGTCGTGCATGCGAGTGCGTTCTCTTGTTAGTGAACTTAACATAGGCTACTATAATGTTGAGCCATACGATGTTGAAACTGGGGTCTTTAACATGAATAAGTATCAGTTTGCTAAAGAAAAATTATCAGTCAATGACAATGAGGAAGTTGGAACCGACTATCATTCAGAATTTTGGATTTCAGGAGCATACAGTACTTACACTGACATACTGAAAATATATTGTAGCGCGGAGGTACCAGCGGGTAGGTTGGACTGATGCCAGCTTTGTAAATAGTTTGCAGTAATTGCTTGTGTCGTTATATATGTGCTGTGTTATGTCATGTATATTGGTTAATGTTTATTGTTGTACGTAGTGTGTGTGTGTGTGTGATTGAACCCTGCATTTTCTCTGCTGTCTAATTATTGAAAGCAGACCCACTATTACAATATCAAAGCATTTTGACTCTTATAGTTAATTGTACTTTTCATTGTGGTGGCACCGACTAACTCATTGGAGGAATTATGTGCTTTTGAGACATGAGTTAATTGTTTTTGGTGAGTTTCAATATGCATGAACTGCTTTAAGAAATGTTCTTATAGTCTTGAGAATGTTAAGTATGTTTCATGAAATGTGCCAAAGCAATAGAGAAAAATCGGGAAGCTGGGAAACACACTAGGAGCCAGAGATAAGGTTATAATAGTTTTGGATTTTTCATTATAGTTTAGTTTTATTTAGTTTTGACCTTTTTTCCCTCTTATTTAGTTAGTTTTAATTAGTTTTTAGAGCAGGTTTGCTAGTTTTAGTTAGTTTTAATTTTTTCTAAATGCTTAGTTTTAGTTTAGTTTTTATTAGTTTTAGTATTAGTTTTCATTTTTTCATACTTTGGGTTATTTGTTAGGTGCAGGATTCAAAAAGATCAGTAAGTATTGTGTAATAAAACTCAACAAAGGAAACCATTTCAAAAA